GTGGCCCCTTTGGCACCCATGCGTTTATACCGTTTGTCCCGTCCCTATTTGTCACCAATTTTATACGCTTTGGCCAATACGCTCATGATGCCGCGCCCGTTTTGGCGAAAGCAGGGTCGTCGGGTGCGCCGTCGTTGTCGTCGTCGTCTGTGGTTGGGCATGTTGTCCAATATTCGCGGTACAATCGTGGTGATTCACACTGAATCAGACGTTCCATGGTCTCTCTTAAATACGTTTCGCTCATACTGTCCATGTACTGTTTGAGGGAAATCCAGTCTTGGTCTTGCGCCAATTGTCGAGCCACTAACCAATGATACCCATCCCACGCGTCAATGCCTCGCACCGTGTTGACCCGCTCGATCGGATGTTCCCACCAATACAAGGTTTCTTCGAGAATGAACGCATCCACAATACGCTGTACATCGCTTCGCGTAATCATGATGAGAGACAATGACCACTCTTTCACTACACACCTCGTTTTATGGTTTTTTTTTATTTTAACACTCACAATGATTACAAGTGATAAAGGCCTGGCGGCTCACATTCTTTTGCCCCCCGTCAGGACATCGGGCATCCACTTCATCTTGTAATTCCTGTTTAATCACCCGTTTCAACTGGTCGGCCACTTTATGATCATTCAACACTAAATTGTCGCAACTCCATTGACTCAAAAATTCTTGATACGACCGTCCTTGCGCACGGGCTTTCAAGAAAAATAAAGCATAATGGCCACAGGTTTGACTATCCAGGGCTTGCAGGGTCTGGTCACTGCGCGTCAGGTACTTCCATTGACTCCATCATTGGTGCAACTCCGGGTTGGTGTACACGTGCAGGGGTAGACCATAACTGTCAAAGATCTCGCACTGGTTCTTTTCTGTCCACAGCCCCAACCAATGCTGGCCCGGCTCTCCCGCTGGATCGGTGTTGACAATGTACGCTTGACGGATATCCTTGGCGGGGGATCGGGGGAGTTGGTCGGCTGGGTGCACGCCGTGAAACACGCGCCGTAAGGTGGGATCTTCCAGGGCCAGGGTCCGCAACACAGTATCACTGAGCGCCACAAACTCCATGACCGGTGTCTTTTGACTTCTGAGGCTACCTCATCCGTTGATGTTGTACTTTATACCTCCCAGATGATTGATCTCATACATGTTTTCATACTCGCTCCATACCAACACGGTGATGTTGTGACCGACAGCAGCAGCAAAATCAATCACCAGTCGCGTATTGCCTGATTGGCGGGGGTTGCGATACTGGGGGTCATCTGCTTTTCCACTGGGCACATTGTTAAACATGAACAAGGTGCAGTTTTAGCCTTGTCCCCAATCACCAGGCAGCAACATCGGGATCTTGTCTTCATTGTAGGCACCCATGGCTTGTAGAAATCGATCGTAGCCCAGCAAATCTTCATAGGCTTGGTCTCCAGTTAGTTGCAGGGTTCTGTAAGGGTATTCTTCTCCATTCAAGGTCTGTCGTACTTGGGTGACACCAAACTTTTCAAAGGCAAAGGGGTATCTTGTGAGGTCTCCATTGAAGGTATTGGAATGCAATAACCCCACCATTACTCGGTCAGGAAATCGTCCCACAAACACATTGTCTTGTTCCCACTGGGTGGTGCGACCATCAAAGGAAAACGTGCGAATTTCGCTCCGCACGACAGGGTAGCGGGCAATCTGTTTGCCCAGCTGTCTTTCTTTTTGCAGTCTGACATAGACGCTGGCATTCAGGGTCACTTTTCTCATCAACAAGGTGACTTTGATGTCTTCATTGTGGATGGCTGGAAATTTCTTGGCGTTCAAGGTGCCTTTGTTAGGGGTACCCATCATGTAGACGGTGTTGGGGTTGAGGAAGAGTTCAAAGTCCATCTGGACATTGGGGACCAACAATTTGTCTGTCTTGAGGGGTGGCAAATGGGGACGAACGATGAAGGTGTGCCAATTTTCGGTCAGCAATCGGCTGGTCAGGGCTCGTAATTCTGTATTCCCACTCCAATTGGCATTGGTGGGGATATCCGAATTGGCTCCTGTGGCTCCCATGACGGAAATCACATTGAGCTGATTGACCCATCCTTGGGGGGCTAGCTTGGTGGCTCCTTCTTCTCGGTTGTAATTCAGCAGGGTTTCTAGGTAGGCTCTGTAATGGTAAGTGTTGCTCTGTTCGGTCATGAGGACGCCATTCATGCTCATGGTGATATCTCGAAAGATGGTGTGACCGAAATTGTTGACGCAGTAGGTGCTCTTGGTATTGTTGGCATCGGAGTTGGCGGTCAAATCGGCACTCAATCCAGCATACCCAGCGGCAGGATCGGTCAGGCGCACTTTGACTTTGAATCGGAGGGAATTGGTATCGTAATAATCGTCGGAGCCTGGAATGGAGAAGGTGATGGGCTGAATGCCTGTCAAGGCGGGTTGAAACTCCACCTCCCGAGAGGCTTCGTACCGATAATCCACATCGGGCACGTCAAAGAGTTCGAGCGACATGATGCAAACTGTCCAGGTGGTTCAACGGCGTCTCCTTTTTATACCCTGTCGTTGCTTCCGGGCTTTGGCTTGATTGGCCCACAACACCTTCCTGAGATCCCCCGGACCAAACAACGTGCCCCCTTTCATACGGCGTAGGGCCTGCTCCACTCTCCAAGGTTCGGGGTTGATCCGGGTCGTCGCAGACGGGAACCCCAAAGGATTATTATTACGTCTGCGAGTGAACTTGCCAAAAATCGTCCCCCCTTTCATCTTGTGTCGTTGTCGAGCCATTTTCTTGGCCCATTCGATGGGGTCATGGCGTTGAGCCATTCGCCAGGGCTCCAACAGGCGGGAGGACGTGTGCATCAAGGGATAGCGCGCCATGGTCGACTTGCCAAAGATCGTGCCCCCCACTTGATACGGTGAAATGAACCGTCCACGGGCGCGTTGCCGTCGAATACGATTTTGCGTTTTGAGAAAGCCTCCTACACGTACCATTTTTTACAGTCCAAAGATATCCCGTACACGTTGCGTGGCTCTTTTATAGGTATTTTGGGCGGTCCGTTTGACCTTGTGTTTGCCCGCCGTCCAAGCCATAGCGGGGGCTTTGCGTTTCAATCCACGGCTGAGTTGAGCACTTCGATCCGCCCAGGTGGCCGCGACACTCTTGCCACGTTGAATATCTTGCAGTCCCGCTTGAGCTTGCTGCACGATCAGGGGTCCCGCCAGTTTGATCAAGTCTTCGGCCAAGCCTTTCCCCTCTTGCTTGGTGAGCACGGGCGTGTGGTACCGCGTTAAACTGCCTCCGCGCATGGTTCACGTCGTGGTGCTTTTTGGACCCTCTAGAGACGTGGGGTGACTTTTTATAGCTTTTTGAGACCAATGGTCACCAGGGTTTTGCCCGGGGGTAAAGGGGCCAGGGGTCCACTGGTACTGGCAATCTCCACTTCCACGATCTCGAGTTGATTTCCTCGGAGTTTGATCCATTGGTGGTGCAAGGGTTCCGCCGTACTTTCCCCATCGCCGGTTCTCAACAATTGCACTTCTCGTAACAGGGGAAACTTGCCACTGCCCACCACGGTGGATTCGACGAGATCCGAATAGACCATGACGGTCCGTCTGCGAGTCCCCACGATCTTTTCAAACGAGGCATCCAGGTTGTTCAACTGCCATTCAAACGCCTGGTGCAATCTCATCCACTTCATATTGTCTGCGGTCACGATGAAAAAGGCTCGGCTGGTAAAGTTGACACCCTCGTACACGTCCCCTTCCCAATTGTAATAGGTTCGATGTCGACTACCGACGGGACCCGTGGTTTCATCATAGGTCTTGGTGGGTAGAGAATATTGCAGATTCGGCCCCAGCAGATAATCGTTCTGGCTGCTTCCAGTCTTGCCCGTCTTTAGGCGCAGCAATCCAAACTTGAACGCAATGTCCACGTTGATGTAAAACTCCACCATATTGACTTGGGCCATGTTCAACAATTCCTTTTTAGGAATCGCTTCAATCACCAGGGACTCTCCTTGCCATTTCAGTCGGGGCAGGCCATGTTTTTTGACAAACACAATGGGTTTTTTGTCTCGATCTCTAACCAGTGCGTCCCATTGATCTTTCATCACAGTGTACATGATTTTATTGTGCACTTCTTGCATCACGCGTTTCCAAAATTGACTCCCCGTCGACACAATTTGACTTGGATTCATGATCTCTTCCAATTCGAGCATGCTAGTCACTTTGGGGACTTCTATCTTCGAATACCCTGAGGTCGATGGGTCGCCCGTGTCTGTCCAAGTGCGCACCATTTGCGGATAGGTGAATCGGACCACTTTGGTATGCGGATCCGCCGCAATGATGGCATTGCTTTGGCCTTGATCCGGCACGGTCAGGGACATCAACGAGGCATGCCAGCCTTCGCCTGGTAAGGTGAGGCGTTCGGGTAGACGGACCTTGAAACTGTTGTTGGCATTGTTGGGAAACTCGTCGGTCGGATCGCTGATGAGTGTCAGGCGTTTAATCTCACTCATGATGAAGAAGAGGCACGTTCCATGGGGTGCAGGGTCCTTTTATAGCCACTGATCCACTTTCTGTTTACTGCGAGGGACACGTCCCACCAACGAATTGAAGGTCGATTGTTTGGGATGAAAATATACTTGCTGGGCAATGTTGGGAAAAGCCCGGGCCAGTTCCATCAGGGTCATACAGGTCTTGGGTTTAGGGGGTTTTTTCTTGCGCATGGGTGGATGACGCCCAGCACGTCGGCGTTGTTGTTTTTTCTTGGGTGGGGACCGTAGGGCACCTCGTTTCTTGGCATACTCTTCGGCTCGATGGTAGGCATTGGCGTAGGCCCATTGCTGCTTGGTAGGGCTGGCCAACTTTTCCCACCACGGTTGGGTTTGCCGTTGTTCGGCGGCTTTCTTCTGGATGAATTTCAGTACGTCCGCGTCCGTGGTGGGAGAGGGCGTGTAACTGGCCCGCGGTCGACTGGAATCCGCCTGGACTTCATCGAGAAACCGCACCCGCTTTTTTCTTTTTCGAGGCGTTATTTTGACGCGAACCATGTTGCGCGGGAATCCAACTATCGTACTTGGCCGGCCACCCTTTCCACCGGACCAAGACCTGACGTCCTTGGCGTTTCAAGACTTTTTCGATTCGAAACAACGAATTGTCCGACACTTGGACTTTTTGGACATCGGGTTCGTAAAACGTGCCTTTTATAGGCGTGCCGTCCCATTCACTGAGTCGATAAGTGACCACAGGATGACGACGCACGTGCGTGACCACAAACACTTCTTCCGTCCAGCCCGGCAAATACCCTTTTTTGAAGGGGCGATGTTTCTTGTTGAGACGTACCCGATCGCCCACGCGACATTTGGGTGGGGGGATCTTGGGCTTCAATCGTGCTCCATAGAGTCGATCCCATACCTCGGACTCGTTTCGAAAGGTGACTTGATGCGGCGCTAAACCAATACTGCGATGATACGCGTGATTGTAGGTATAGATTAAGGGTTGTAAGACGTCCACGTACCGTAACGTATTGTGCGCGGTAAAATACCGGTACATCCGTTGTTTCAAGGTACGATGCTATCGTTCCACCACTGAGGCCTTGCTATCCCCATACGTGTAAAAATGATGCCAATCGTGTTTCTTGAACCAGGCTTGGACCTTTCGATTCAAAAATTCTTGGCCTTGATCCGTTTGTACACGGAGGGGTCGTCGTGGTGAGGCGCGTCGGCGTATCGCGTCCAACCCTCGGATCATTTCGGTGGCACTCTTTGATTTGATGGGAACGGCCCAGGCATACTTGGACAAAACGTCGATGACCGTTAACAAATATTTGTTGCCTTTGTTCGACCGACTGAGTTTTTGCATATCCACTAAATCCATCTGCCATTGTTCATCTCGGCCAAAGACCAACGTGGGCGTGGTGGGAAACCGGGTCCGTCGGGGTTTGTGGAGCGTATAGCTCAACACGGATTGAAGAATCCGTTGCGCTTGTGGGGTTTTCAATTTATGGGCTCGGGCAAAGGGTTGGACCCCACCCAAGGCCCCAGGTTCTTGGGGATCTTCGTAAGCGCGTGGCAACGACATCAAGACACTGACACATGATTCGAGCCCAATTCTGTCTTTAATAGTTTTTTTCACACACACCTTACATGCATTTTCAAAACAAGACCGAGCTACCAAAGTTCTTATGGAAATGGCGTCTTCTCTCAAACGCATTCTCCTGGGCTTTGACAGACTCGCCAAACTGATTCATCCACGGACTACGCCTCATCTTTTCTAGTTCGGGATCGGACCTTTCTAAAACGTGCATCCCCCAGGGTCGGGGTTTCTCCATCTCTGGGCCTTTCAAAAGAGGTAGGGACTCCTTGACCCATCGTCTCAGGGTCGGTTGCGCTTGCTCTCGGGGACACCACAGGGGACCATGGAGCCATTGAAAGTAGCCACAGGGTTTAGCATGGGTCAGAAAGCTCCCACAACTAAAAAACACTTTCTGGTAATTCTTGGCCGTACGACTTAATTTCATTTTGGGGACCAACCCACACTTGCACTTGAGTTCTCCATGTTTCACTCGAGCCTGGACTTGAGGATGCGTGTCTTTTTTCAAGGCCTCTATCATCACCTCCCGCGTGTCTTCAAACAAATAGACCGGACACCCTTCTTGGGGACACTTGAATCTTAAGGGACCAAATTGGGCTTGGGGGTTGACACATTCCAGGAATCGCTGGGGATGAAACGGGCACGATTCATACAAGAGTTGGTTGAACTGGATGTCCATTTGGTCGAGCTCTTCCCCTCCTCCTTCCTCTAAACATTCTTCCTCATACTCTTTCAGGGTGCCCTCCATCAACTCGTTCACGGATTGGTCGGTGGAGGAGGGTGTGGGCACGGGCGTCGGGTCATCTGCTTTAGGCAAGGCGTTGAGAGCAATCACCAGTTCACTGGTCGGGGGTTGAGTGGCTTGCTTGTCTAGGGCTTGGACTTCCTCCTCTTGTTTTTGTTTCTTACTGACGCGACGTCGTTTGCGTCCCGAAGGCACAGCGGCAGGTTGAGTGGCTTGACGATCCATCCCTCTCGACTGAATGAATGACTCTAAGGCAGCATCTGGCCGGCCTTTTTATAGCCCCTCCTCTTACCTCACGTGATGCCTCTCGTGATGCTCATACGATCTGGGTCTCCACCAATCCGGACTCGTCCTGGGCTCTCGTGAGTGTGGTGTGATCAGACGGTCCACCAATCAGCGACCACCCTAGTGGCTATAAAAAACCAGACGTGAGTCGCTAGGGTCTCATTCTGTCCATGGAAGCTGACGGTTCATTCATTTTCAAGGAACTTCCTATCGTAAGTGATCATGGCATTGAACAAAGTGGGTCTCTTGGTGTACAGTCAGGGGTTTGCCCTCTCTCGAGACGAGTATATTATTCGAGAACTGGCGTTTTGCGATTGGACGGGGCATCATCATGGTTTGTTCAAATACCTGTTACCCCCAGGCGTGTCCTACAATCAATTATCCGAGGAAGCCCGAACGCGCGTCGATCGTCAGACCCAGACAGTGCATGGCTTGCCATTTGAACCCTTTTTGTCCGATTACAATCGTCCACACTTTCATCCCTACGATCAGATGCGAGACGATATCACGCGTTGGTGTCAACAGTATCTCACCCCCCAGCGGGAACTGTTGGGGGTGTTCACCCTCAATGGTCTGGCTAAATTGTTGCAAGAGCCCCCGTTTGCGTACCCCCTCGTGGTCTTGGAAGGGCAGGGGTGCCGAGACTTGACCTCGCTTCCCACCGCCACCGTCAATGTCCTGGCCACCAATGATCAGGGCCGCAATTGGTGTCTGGATCATCATCATGGAGCCCGTGGGAGTGGCGTCTGGCACGATCATTGCGCCCGCGTACGGGTCTGTCAAATGAGTGGATGGCTCCGTCGTCAGACCCATGTCTTGCCTACCCTTTCGCAAGTCAATGCCCAACGCGTGCTGTGGCAACAACGATGTGATCGCATGATGGATTATTTGTTATGCGATTATTGCAAAGACGAAAAAAACGAGGCCTTTGCTCGAGGGCAAGGACTGGACTGGATTCCCGATAATTGCAACGAATGTCGCACGGTCCGATGTATTTTCGAACAAACCGTCACCTGTCGGGAATGGCAAACACCCAGACTGTATGCTGATGATGAACCGCATACCATGTGGGCTTGGACCCCTTTGTCTCACCATAAACACTGTTTTTAATTTTCACAGATCATGCTCATTTACACAGGCGGTGCCAAAGGGGTGGACACGCATGTGGAGCGATTATGTCACTTGGATGGTCATACGTGTGTGGTCTTTATCCCACCCTGTCACCCTCGATCCAAGTCCCTCGCGCCCTTGACCCAGGCCCAGTTGGATGCGGCTACCTCGATGGTCACCCAAGTGGCGTTTCGATTGGGTCGACAAATCCATCATCCCATCAGCCTCCAGTATATCCAACGCAATTATCACGTGATCCAGCCGGCGTCCCTCGTCCTGGCCTTGGGTCATTTTGACGAATGTGGCAAGCATCTGTTGGGGGGTACAGGCTGGAGTGTGGTCATGGCCCAGCAATTAGGCAAACCCCTCTATGTGTTTGATGTGGACAAGGAACAATGGTGTTGGTGGAATCCCGACCCCCAAGAGTATCAACCCTGTGAAGGCATGACCGAGACACAAATCGCTTTACCCACCCTCCAAGACAAGACGGCTATTGTAGGCACCCGAGAAGAAGACCAGGCCCTCTATCCCACCCTGGAAGCTTTATTCAAACGCCAATAAAAAGAAAACACTGCTCTAGAACAAAAAAATCACTTGTTTTTAATGTCTCAATGTACATCAATCACAATAAAATTCATGGCTCCCATGGTTTCGGTGATCAAATCGAGTCGTTTCATCACTTTGTCCAGGGTATCGTAAGAGCGCTTCCTCCGGCCAATCATGACGGGGCGCTGACCCAAGGGACACTTGGGGATCTGATGCACGAACCGGTTGATAACAAAGGCAATGCCCTCATTCATGACTTTGTCCAGATCGGGAGGGACACGCGCCATCTCTGCCATCATGCCAATCTGAAAAAAACCAGAAAAAAACGTGTCTCAGCATCCAGGTCATGAGAAGAATGGGTCTTGAAAAAAAAATCACTCACCGACAACCGGTGATCCATCATACGATGGCAATGGTGGCAGCCATTTCTCCGGGGGGCATGCAGTCGCACCACCACTTGGTTCCACCACCGATCTTCGCCCAGATGTTGCGGCAAGCCTGTCAGGTCGCATTTGGGCAACCCCTTGAACTCCTGCACCACCTTCTTTCTCTTGTCCATGGTGTAAAAGCAATGGACCCAAAACATGATCTTAATCTGGATTTCCAGGGGCAACACGCGGCCAAACGGTTTGTTTCGGGGATCAACGAGTCCTGGGCAGTCCATCTTGACACAACGAAAAGCATGCGACTGACCTTTCCACTATGATGCGCCTTATTAATCTTCTCATGTCCGCCAATCACACCCTCGCGCTAGTTCCTCTGGGCTAGGCATGAAAAAGTGTACCCATGGGGGGCACCCCCTAGAGTCTCCTCTCGTGGTCAAACTCCCCCACGTGTTGTCTCTCCACCAATCAGCTCCTCTCATAGAGTCTCTAAATCACGTTGCGCACTCCGTGTGAGCTCATTCCAGTTTGATCAGTCACGCTGTTCAAGATGGTGAGTTCGCTCCAGTCACTGGTTCTGTACTCCGTGCCGATTGCGGTTTTGTTTGATATGTTGAAGTTGTTGTGCCACCTCCCGATGGGCCACGAATGCCTGCGCGCCATGTTCCGTCGCTGTACCCACGAAGAGTTACGTGCTTGGGCCAGAACATTGCCATGGGATCATCCCGTTGCCCGGAAATTGGACCATGAGGTGCATCGCCGCCGTATGGCTGGTAAGTCTTATGGCTTTCATTTTTTCGGGGTGTGGGACCCTTGTCCTTATACCTTTTTTGATTTTTTATAGCCGTATTCAAGGGGTTCGAGTTTCTACGAACAGTGCTGTGGCCTGTCCACCTGTGTCTTTGCCCTCAACGCGCCAGACTCAATTGGGCCGCGCGATTCTGGGTTCCAACTTGTTTGTGTTAATTTTTTGTTAGATTCTTGGGAGTATATGGAAAACCAGCCCGTCTGCCATATATACCAGTGGGTCGCCCATCCCACCCCTGGTGGGGTCTGCAACCATTGTGAAAGAATGATGGACGGATTGCGATTGGACGATATCATTTCCGGCAACAGGGAGGGGTCCCTCACTGAAGATGAGATTGTACAATATGTACAGGATGGGGACCCCAACGATCGAGATTGGGATGACTGGCCATTGCGGATGACTTTTAGAATTAATTCATTTCTCCGGGAGCATGGTCCCGTGGGTGAACCGGATTTGGCTGCTCTTGGGTTTTTAGATGATTAATTTTAGTTAATTTTTTCAGGCACGCATAGCCTCTTGCGTCATCATTTGCAATGGATTCCGAGTTTGCACTCCCACTTTTTTCGCATCCTGATTCGTCCACTTTCCACCTCTTTGTAGGCTTTCATTACACGTTAAAACAATATGAAGAATGGATACAACCCGTTCAATTAAGATGTCAATATAGTACTGTCCAATGTATAATCGAACTTCATGAAATATTGCAGATGTGATTTTCGTCCTAGACCAGTGGGGGTGGATTCTCCCCTTGCAACACCGATGCCATATTCATCGTGTTCAACAACTCATTCAATTCTGCAATAATGCTTTTTAGACACGCGTAGTCATATCAAGAACAGCCGCTGGTTCCAAGACTACGTGGCTTTCTTACTTATGAAGACAACGTATTATTAAATTTTTTTCGTAGATTCGTATACTATTCTCAGCACCCACAGGGTTCATGGTACTTCCGCGGCCTGGTGTTTCTGTGGTAGTATCGTGCAGTGGTACACTGGAGAAGGGGTCTCTCTTCCGTATCCAAGACCCATCAAATTACTCTGTTGTCGTTGTTTTTTAAACTTTCGTCATGTGCGCGATTTACATTTTCCCTGTTATTGGTGTGAGATGTTGCAAGACATGGGATATCCACCCCGTTCTTAAAAAACCTGTTGTTTTCTTTTCAGATACTCGTTTTGTCATACGAGCTATTTATCTCCCTTCCCTTTTTCAGCCACTTCCAAGATAATCACCAGTCATACCAGATATGCCCGCAGTTATCTGATGAAACAGTTATACTTTGTGTGTAATCAATGTTGGACGTATTCACGGCACGTGGCCGTCCTCCATGAACCTTGTTGGGGATGCCACATTTTAGAAAGTACGGGGTGGGAATTCTGAACACCCGGCAGGGGGAGGTCTGCATGGTGGCGCCACCCCTGCTGGATGTTCAAACTAAGACGTTGATTTTTTTTATTAGAATGTCATTGGATTATTGACCATGCAATGATTTTTCGAGGTTGGCCCATCCCTCATCAACTTTGTATCGCTCTTTATTAGATTCCCATTGGATCCTTCAAGACATCATGATTTTTCGAGGTTGGCCCGTCCCTCATAAACTTTGCATTGTCAATCATCAAGGATGGTCCAGCTTCCTCCATTTGTTCAAACTAAGACGTTAATTTTTTTCATTAGCATGTCATTGGATCCTAGATCATTTTGACTATAATCAAGACTGGATATTAATAGAATATTATTCTAAACAAACATTTCAAGGGCGTGACACCACCAGGGCGTCACACACGTCCCACATGTAATGAAGGCCTGTTTTTTTATTTTCCAGTCAATCATTGGACCATAAACCACCGCCTCGTGCGTGTCAATGGTCGACTGTTTCTCATTCAGTTTGCTTCTTGGATCTAACCACCCCTCCTTCTAATTCGTTTTTTCAGACACCTTGGCTGCATTCAATTTCCCTTTAATCAAACCATGGTCATACACAGGTTACAACCACTATATTAAATGGCCTCATCCAGCGCTCATGACTTTTTCTTCCAAGAGGCAAACACCCTTTCTTTTGTTCATTCGTTAATATCAAGGGCGTGACGTCACTCGGACGTCACACACGTCCCGCTTGTACCCAAGGCTTTACGCGGTCATTAAAACTATGTGAAGAATGTAGATTCAACTCTTGTGTGCGTGTGTTCTTTATTCCATGGGGTCACGTGGGTTAAAACCTTGATTTGTGACGTCAATCAGTCACATGGGCGAAATGCGCGATTCTGATTGGTCGAGACCAATTTTGCTGCGCTCTGATTGGCTACTACCTGGTGTAGCCATTATGACTACTTCCGGCCTTAACCTTAAATTAACTTGACGCTTGCGCGACGTCTTAATCATATCTTTGCTTGCCAAGTAAATTTAATTAAAATGTATTTGATTGGGATCTATTATTATTCGCTATGAGGTACCACGAGCCCTGAAACCGTAGCCCTAAACTCATGTCATTTTGAGACTTCAGGGATTGATGCGATCTCAGAAATCCAGGTTTTGTTGATGGCTGCCATCATATGTTATATCATACTGTCAAGAATAATGGACCTTCTGGTCAAGCACGATCAAATTAAGTTCGGCGTTTGAATGAACTGTTAAGCCAAAGCTGAGCATATAAATTCTGTTAACTCGATACTTCAGAAGCACGACTTCTGAAAAAAAAGAAACGGCTAGCATAAAAATGATGGCGATGATGTCAGTTATGGGTGGGTCAGTGTTTTTGCTGATTGCATGATCTGTCTTGATATACTGTATTCATATGAGTTTTATTTCTAATTAAACTGCCCACTTAATGAGTTGTATCATTTAGACCCATGTCGAGCTTGCCATTGTTCTCTAAATTGCGCAGTCATCGAATCTGACGAGCGCTCGATCGGCGATCACGCAGTAGTAAACTAATTAAAGTAAAGAGGTTTTAGAAGGTACATTGTAGGTAATTCACGGTTAAGGTAAGATGCTTGTACTACTTTAGTTTCTGGTCTTTTTTTTTTTACAGTTTTTAGTAAACCAGCTTCTAACATTTTGCGAAATATGTTTCATCAGTCATATTGCATGGTGAACAAAAAGCCAATAACCGGTCTTTAAATGGTGTATGTTGTTCGAATGACGTCAGGATTAAAAAGGCCCGCTGCTGGGAGATGAAAATTAATTTAGAATTGCTCATTTGTCCCTCATTTAGCTAGTGTCAACAAGTCAATCGCTGCTGCTTTTTGATCTTGGTAAAATAAACAGCTCTACAAGAAGACGTGTTCGAAGATGCAACTGGCAACGTTATTGCTCTTCTGTGCGTGTTGGCTTCATGTTCGAGCAGAAACAGTGTTAACTAAGTATGGAGATATCGAGGGTCTCGTGACTTCGTATCCGAATGCCTCTGGTCTGTTCAAATCTGTCAGCAAATTTCTTGGCGTTCCTTTCGCCGCTCCACCAACTGGAGAGCTAAGGTTTAAAGCCCCCAAACCGCCAAAAGAATGGAGACCAAACGTCTATTCGGCTAAGACACATGGAAGCGTCTGCTTACAGTCCAAACTTTCCGAAAACTTTATCAAGTCTTTTACTTCAAATTTCACTTTCAGCGAGGATTGCTTATATCTTGATATCTACAGCCCGAACATTAGCCTTAGTTTGCCAGTGATGGTTTACATTCACGGTGGAGGCTACATTATAGGAACAGCGATCACTTCTCCCAGCGATTTTTTGGCTCTTCAGGGTGTGGTTGTAGTCATAATCCAGTATCGTCTAGGTCCCTTTGGTTTCTTGACGACTGTTGATTCGGCGGCTCCTGGTAACTATGGAATGTTGGATCAAGTGGAAGCACTGAAGTGGATCAATGAAAACATTATGAATTTTGGCGGGAATCCCAACAAGGTCACGATATTTGGAGAGAGCGCTGACGGATCCAGCGTGAGTCTCCATCTTCTATCTCCTCTGTCACGTGATCTTTTTCATCAGGCCATTGCAGAGAGCGGTGTAGATTTAAGTTCCTTTGCCAACGTCTGTTGGTCTTCCGGTCGCTAGGGAGCTTGCACAAAAACTAAACTGTGGTGCAAGCGACCACAACACAATGGTTTCCTGCATACACAACAAAAGAGCTTTAGACATACAGAAAGCCTCAGAGTCAATCAAATTTGACTTCTCTAATTATCTCTACTGGGCACCGGTTGTAGACAAGTACTTCCTTCTTGATACATCCCAAAGTTTGAGGAAAAAGAAAGATTTCAAGCAAGTGCCACTTATCATCGCCTTTACAAGTCACGAGGGGGCGACATCTCTCGTAGATATATATGGTCAACAATTCTTTTGGGCTGATGGAGAGCTTGGACAACGGAGTCAGTCCGACTTTTTTTCAAATCATTTTTAAGCAAGTTTGCTCAAGGTCAAGGGTTCGATCCTCCTGCTTTGATTGAGAGGGAAGCAAAATAATAATAATTATAATTATAGTAATTATTATGGTAATATTAATTATAATGGTTTATTTAAAGTACAGCCTCGTTAATACGGTCACCAATGGGCCAAAAAAATTTGGCCGTGTTAGCGGGTGACCGTATTAACGAGGGTTTTTTTTTTACAAGAAAATCAGGGGCGGATCCAGGATCTTTTTTAAGAGGGGGTGCACTCGTCTCTTGCTGTACTTCAACACCAATAAACCAAATAGTTTTTTTTTGCAGAATACCAGTTGTATTAGAAAACTGCATGTCATCTCAGGGGGGGGGGGGTGCGCACCCCCTGCACCCTCCCCCTAGATCCGCCCCTGAAAATGTATGGTCGTTTTGCCGGGCGGCCAGAAAAAAGTGGCCGTAATAATGAGGTGGCCGTAAGAAGGGGTTCACTGCATCCATAAACTAAAAATACGGCTCTTTATCTGTGACTTACTACTGCCGATAACCTAACCTACCAATCTACTCATCAATTGGTTATAAATTATCATTACTACAAAACTATGAACAGTGAAAAGATAATAAAACGACTAGTTCCAAAATTAAAGAAAAGCTAGTGAAAAAGAAAAACTAAAGAAAAGGTCACTAAGAATACAGCCTTGCCCTTCGGCTTAGCTTTAAGGTGACTTGTCAACTGACTCTTAACATGACTAAATTCTGGGGAGTTCCAAATATGGTGTGGTATCGCATTGAAAACATTTGGCAGTGCTGTCTTGGAAGGTACCTGATTGTGTCTACTTTCTGCTCAATCTGTGATTTATACTCAGTTGTGACTACGATTTTATTTTGTAAAACTATAATTGGTCAAAAAGAAGCGACTTTAAAACATTTAGCCATAAAAAATTGCGAAAAAAACGTTTCTTAAAAACATTTAAAAAAGTTTAAAAACATACTACGTTTCGACGTTCTCAGCTGTCATTATCAAGTACAAAATGCAGGATGAATGTTTTATAAATGCAAGAAAAACAATAGCTCATTAAAAAGAAAAGTAACATATAAAAAATATGTTACAAATTTTAAAACAGAGCGTTTAGCACTGATTGAGTCACTCTGAGTGTTAAGTCTAGGCCTCAGTTCAGTTTGATGAATAGGATTTACGAGGCGGTCAAATTTGCCGTGGCACTTACTGAGAACGCGAAATTGACCCTCACTAAGAAGATGTATGTCACCGTGCGCTTCTAAAAAATGTTTACTGGACTTAAGACCTTGCTTTGCATTATGTATTCATTTATTTTAGTCAATTACAAGTGCATATAGGATTAGGTCTGTTCCCCAATCTCTCTCGGTGGAAAGTAGACCATGACTTAATCCAAATGAACTTAATAAAGGAAACAGTTTTTGGAAAGGTATCAGATCTGGCAGTCTTGAATTTGTTGCGATTTTACTTTATTAGCATTTACTTGTCTTTTTAGCTTATATCTGCTTATTGCTCTGAGCTCAGGAAAGTAAAGTTGAACTTCTCTGAAAGTCGGCAATAGTCCGTATGTTATTTTCCCGGCGGTACTCTCAGCAATTTAAAATCCAACACCATATATATCTGATTAAATGAACTGAAGTTGGGCAATTGTGCACTGGGAAGCTACTGTTTGATGGCCACTCGAGCAAACCATCGCAGTGAGTTCAGTATGCCCTTAATGCCCAATACCCAATTGCAAAAGCAACCTTTTAAAGTTATATAACAAACTGACGTATTTATTGTGTCTTGTTCACTTTGTTTTGCTAATACCCTTGTTCTGAACATTATGCCCATCCCTGTTTTATTGATCATGTTCAGGTTATTCAAACGTTTTTTTTATTTGTATTGCAGAAGCACAAAAAATTGGTAACCCAGCTTTCTGCCTACGGACACGTTTATCATTCCCTCATTTTCTTTCCAAAAATTTTAAGATCCCCCACCAAGCCTAGGGAAGGCATCTCTGCCACAACTTTTCGTACAAACTCTGCATTGCTAACGAAGGAACCAACTCAATTTGCATGAATTAATCTCCATATCTTTAGCTTAATCTCGTCGAGGTGAGTTACATTAATCAGATTTTTAAGTACACATTAATTGTGATATGGTATTCGCAGTGACCCGTAATCCCGCTCAGTGACGACGCTATCTTTAACCGGGACCTTATAACTTACTTTCACCTTATGTCACTAAAATTTCAATGCACCAACATTAGTCACCTCCATTTCTCATAAAATCACGGCAAAATGCGGCATTCTCTGTCCAAAGACACTGCTTTTAACGGAGAAACAACTCCACGTCATACATTTCTTTGTAACGACCCGCAATGTTTGCCCCCTGGCAATCCCACAATCCTGTGCGCAAAACATTGGTCTCCGATTACTGGAAAATCGTTCATTATTACACCATTTTTTAGATGTTCGAAAATCCTAGGAGAGACAGGCAAGCAAGAAATTTTACAACAAATGTTCCGAAAATTCTAGATCTCAAATCGTCTTCCGAACAGATATTTTCCGAAAATTGACGTTGGGTGCCCCTGAAAGGTGGATAGTGCTATCCACAGAGAAGATTACTATCTTAGGGACTTGTCAGAAATTAGCAGGGGTGGGAGGGGGGTGGGAATTTTAGGCCACGTCCACACGTATCCGGAGATTTGTTTTTCCGCAAATATTTTTTTGCGGATTTGAAAATTTTCGCGTCCACACGCAGCGTATTCGAATCGTTTTCAGCCGTCCACACGTATCCGATTGTATCCGGAAATTTTCTGATTTGCTCTAGTGCCCAGTTCTTTTGCCGGAGAGAATCCTGAAATGAGCATGCGCATAATTGCGATTTAGGCGCCATTTCTTTCGCGCCATAACTACTGCGAGGTGTAAACAGTCGAAGCTTGTAGTTTATCACTCGAAAAAATGTCTAAATCTACTGAAAAAGTCAACAAAAAGTATGCCACGCTTGTCCTTCCTGGTCGCGTCCAGAATCGCCTTCGGTGATGGTTCGCTGTTTTTTTGACTTTATGATGCCCACTGTTCATTGATAACAATCTCAAAACATCCTGTCGATCTCTAATGTATTGGTTGTGTAAATGTATCACAGCTGCATTTATCTGAACGCATGATATCAAACTAGAAATCAGAGCAACTAACAAAGAAGCTACAACCTTGCTGTACGCCATGTTTGTTTATAATGCTCGCCGTGAAGACTGGATCCAAGAGAATGACGAAAGCGTATTCGAAAATTTCCGGATACGACCGTGCACACGTATACGTAATCGTATCGGATAAAAAAAATTTCCATTCTGGAGAGCGTTTTCAAAAATTTCCGGATACGGCCGGGAAAATATGCTGGATACATGTGGACGCAAGCCGTATTCGTAAAAAAAAATTTGCGTTTTCACAAACTTGCGGATACGTGTGGACGATGCTTTAAATCTGGGTTTGGAAATGAGGTGACCCATCCCTGCAATGGGAGTGAAATTTGCTAACCCTCCCGTTAACCTAAAATATCATGACCCTCCCCCTCTTGTACAAATGATAAAATCTAGTTCTTGCAATACACTAGGGTGAGTCAGTATTATGAAAGCTCAAAATATATTTCTAATTTTTTCTTTGTAATGCCATATACATACATTTTAGATGACAGCATTAAGAGTCCGACTCTGATTCTGACAGCTGATCACTCGACTCTCCTATTTCTCCCAGGTTTTTTTTTTACAAAATAAAGAACTTCCTTTTTCTTCTGTGGATGTGACCTCTACATGATCACGGACACATTTGCATGACCCTCCCCTTTTTAACGGCCCATTTTTCATGACCCCTCCCTTTTCTGCACTCTCAAAAAGTTGTGACCCTCCCTCTGTTTCCTCCCCCTCCCCCCTGCTAATTTCTGACAAGTCCCGTATGGATAATTGTAAGGGTTGCGTAATTTTTACGTTCGTAGGTGCCTAAAATTTACGTTCGCAAATAAAATAGAGGCAATACATGAAAGGTCGCTCGTAAGCGTAAAAGTTGAACCTCCCTCAACTTCACGTTTAAGCTCAGCACTTTTTATCTTCCCGCAATTTTATTTACGTGATTAAAATTTACGTGCGTTAACGTGCGTAGCCAATGAAAGCGTCCGTGGAAATCAACCTTAAGGAAAAACAATAGAACTTGTCACGGTTTTCGATGCCATCTTGGCGAGTAGGCAAACCCGTGAGAAATTACAGTGTTTGTATGAGAATCTAATGTCGAATAATTTCCGTAAAACGGCTGTTTTAAAAAACATATGAACTGTAAACTAAAGCTTCACTCTTAAGGAATCTACTGAAAAAAATTGAGGGCGTTACGTGCGCTAGAAGACCTAGAACCTTTTTTAAAAATTTTCTATACATCTGTCTGTAAAAATTTCCCGTGAAAAATTGCAGAAAAGTATATGGAAAATCTAAAGCAAGCTTCTGGAGAAATTTAAGCACAGTTGTAGTTTTAGTTTACAGTTCATATTTTTTCCAGAACAGCTTTTTTACGGAAATTATTCGACATTGGATTCTCATACAAACACTGTAATTTCTCACGCGTTTGCCTACTCGTCAAGATGGCGTCGAAAACCGTGACAAGGTCAAGCGCCGCGCGCCCTTTTTTTCTTGTGCCCACTACTTCCAAGCGCCTGCTACGCAGCCTATGCCACTATATGGGTCCTTAAAAGTTTTGCTGAGTATACACGTATTTAAGGACCCTAAAGACCCACTTCCGTCTCTTATGTCGATGTGTGGGACGATATTAGGTTTTAGTTTCATGGCATTTTGCTGTTATTATTGCATGATGTGTCATATGATATAGTTTTCAAAAGACCTTTGTTTGTCAGTATTCAAACCGCCAGCTCAGTGAATAATATCCTTAGAAAAACGCAGAGAGCCATGAACAATACAAGCTTGCTTTTGTTCTTTAAAATGCACAGTTGGCAAATCTAAGGTGCTCCGGCTCGCTCACCCAATAAGACAATGGAAATTCGACAACTTGACCGGGCCACTTGAGTTGCATGTGTTGGGCCCAGCAGATCGATCATTCAGGGTCAAGATGCGTGAACTGATCCAGATTTTTCTCATAGTTTGCATTAAATTTTCTTGTAACCTTTTTAGAAATATATTTTTATCAGCCAGATTGCATGGTCAATAAAACGCCAATAAGGAAAATGAGGGGTGCTCAAATTGTGTTCCTGTAAAATATCGACACTCTTTCACCATCACATTTACATGAATCAAGTTTGATTGACGTCCAGGATTTTATAAAAATTCCATAAAAAGACTCGCTGCGAGTTGAAAGGTAACTTAAAACTATTGACTTAACCTTTATTTGGCTAGCCAGAGTGTCAACAAGTCAAGCTCGGTCGTTGTTTCATATTAGCGAAAGAAACAGCTCCACAAGAAGAAGTGTTTAAAGATGCTGCTAGCAACGTTTTTTATCTTTTGTGCATGTTGGCTACATGTTCGAGCAGAAATAGTGTCAACGAAGTATGGAGATATCGAAGGACTCGTGACTTTATATCCGAATGCCTCTGGTCCGTTCAAATCCGTCAGCAAATTTCTTGGCGTTCCTTTCTCCGCTCCACCAACTGGAGAGCTAAGGTTTAAAGCCCCACAACCGCCAAGAGAGTGGAAACCAAAGGTTTATTCGGCTAAAACCCATGGGAGCGTCTGCTTACAGTTCAAACTTTCCGAAAACGTAATCAAGCCTTTTACTTCAAATTTCACTTTCAGCGAGGATTGCTTATATCTTGATATCTACAGCCCGAACATCAGCCTCAGTTTGCCAGTGATGGTTTACATTCACGGTGGAGGGTACGTTTTAGGAACAGCGATTACTTCTCCCAGCGATATCTTGGCTCTCCATGGGGTGGTGGTGGTCATTATCCAGTATCGTCTTGGTCCCTTTGGTTTCTTGACGACCGGTGATTCGGCGGCACCTGGTAACTATGGAATGTTGGATCAAGTTGAAGCACTGAAGTGGATCAAAGAAAACATTGAGAATTTTGGCGGGAATCCCAGCAAAGTGACCATATTTGGACAGAGCGCTGGAGGATCCAGCGTGGGGCTCCATCTTCTATCGCCTCTATCTCGTGATCTCTTTCATCAAGCCATTCCAGAGAGCGGTGTAGATTTAAGTCCCTTTGCGATTCAGCCAACGTCTTTTGGTCTCCGTTTCACAAAAGAGCTTGCACAAAAACTGAATTGTGGATCCAGTGACCATTATGCAATGGTTTCTTGTATGCGCAGTAAAACAGCGTCAGACATGCAAAAAGCCGCCGAGTCAATCAAATTTGGTTTCGTTAATTATCTTTACTGGGCACCAGTCGTTGATAAAAACTTTCTTCATGATACACCCCAGGTTTTGAGGAAAAAAGGAGAATTTAAGCAAGTGCCGCTTGTCATCACCTTCACAAGTAACGAGGGGGCGACTTTTCTCGGAGACATGGTCAACAATTCCTTGGGGCTGATGGAGAACGTGGACAATGGAGTCAGTCCGACCTTGTTCAAATCATTTCTTATTAAGTTCGCGCAAGTTCAAAACAGTAGGTAAGATCAGTGAAAATTAAATATTTGCTCAGTAGTCTCAATGCAGCAGGACCCCGTTAACTCCAACTCCCCGCTAACTCTAACTAAGTTCAATTTCCCTTTGATTTTACCTCCCTTTCCTGTCATTTTTACTCGGTTAACTCCAACGCGGATAACTCAGATTAACCTCTAACTCGAACTAAAACACCTTTTCGCCTCCCCTGATCAAAAAAGTCTCTGAAATGTATCCCGATAACTGGAATTCTTGTTCTTTTAACCACTAAACTAATCTATAAACTAACTAATCTGAGTAACTCTTCTTGTTGCATGAGAGCCTGAAAACACTAAAACTGACATTGGTCACCGTTTAAGGCAATTTCATTTTAATTGGTGAAACGAACAGATCACGTTTTATCATAAAAGTGCCTAATCATGTTACAGTGTCTGATGAAATAAGTAAACTTGTACTGCACCATACACTGAATTGAATTTTTCAATCGACTTCGGTTGGGAGGTTGATTAAAGGATAAAGTTGTAATATGGCTATGTAGTCTCATTGTTCCCGGGTGTTCTTGTATATATTTTCGCTCCATAAATTACACTACGCTGTACACTGATCCGCTACAACGTAACCACTACCGAAATATACTCAGTCGTAGGTTATTATGTACCCTGTTTAGGACAGAAAGGTCAAGAACCACACCCTGTCCAGCGGCACCACATCCCCGTACAAGTCATATAACCTAAGCAAGTAACCTCCCGGGGTCATAACATGCCACCAACCATGTTGCATTAACATTTATCAAGAGAGAGTAATAGCGACTTCTGTTCCTCTCTGGAGACCATCCTCCGATTATAACTCAAGCGTTTATCGGTCTCAAAATAACTTTGGTGAAATTCACATATCCCAAGGGCTAGACAAGGTGTTTCCCTCTGTGTCTCATTATTCCCTTTTTGCATTTATTTATTTCTTCGCTTGTGTTTCTTTTGCACGCATTGGTTTACTTTTCCCTTCAAAATAAAACTAGTGAGGCAAGTGCCTCGGATTTCTTCACACTGTTCACGGCTCTGGTCTGTGGAATAATTGTTAAATATCCGTCACTTTGTTTTAGGAAGAAGAATGCTGATCTTCTCGCCGATGCCTTAGAGTTCATGTACACCCCTTGGCCTGACAACAGTAATAAATACGCATTAAGAAGTCAACTTGTTGATCTTATTGGTGATAACCTTTACTTTGCTCCCAGTCACAAGGTCGCTGATGTTCACAGTCAGGTCGCTCCTGTTTACATGTATGAGTTTGCTCATCGGGCAAAAACAAGTATGGGTGCTGATTGGATGGGCGTGGTCCATAGCGAAAATGTTCCCTTTGATTTCGGAGTTCCTTTGCTCCCGAAATTTTTATCTCTTTATAGTCCCGCTGACAGAAATGTCAGTTTGCTTATTATGACCATGTATGCAAACTTTGCCCGGTCCGGCGATCCTTCAGTCAGCGGTGTCGCGTGGGAGAAATACAACTCGAGTCACAGAGCTTACCTTAAAGTGGACACAAGTCCCAAACTGAAGACGTCATTTAATTCTCGCCGAATGTCTTTTTGGAATAATTACTATCCTAAATTGGAGCAGGTGAAGTTCGATGTCAATAAAGAGGTTGTCAGCGGTGCAAAGGATGTTGTTACCATGGGTACTGCTCTTCAAGTTGTATTTGCTTTAATAGTATACTTGAGTTACTAAGACCTTACTTTGTTTTTCACTCATTCATTCAAGTTTATTAGAAGTGGATAACACCAACATTTTCTTTAATGTCTATGAGCGGAAAGTAGAGCATAATGTATGTAGCCGAATCAACTAAAAAAAGTCAGCAAAGAAAAAAGGGCGATTTCAGTTTTTGCTAAAAAGTTCATAACTGTTATTGAATGAAGCTGAGAATGATACGAGGAATTATGCAGATAGAGGATTGAATAATTATACTGATTAGTGAATTAACAGGGTACAGACTTAAAATGTTTGTTGCTCCCGCAGTTATAACCATTCATCGGTAGAGGATGCCTAAGGTTCGTACAATTCTACAATTGTTTTGGGCTCCATTAAATCCTATATTTACATCTTTAAGTTTTGGCAGTCTTCATCATTGTATTTGGCCGAGCATTTAATTACTACTGTAATTTTAGCTGATCGCATTGCTCTGAAGGTACAGTCACAACCTCTCTACAAAGGTCATGCGTCTACAACGTCCACTTTTTCGGACGGACAGACCATAGATTGATAGACTCGAGTATTCTCTCGTTTTCCTCAGAGAAAGCAAAGTGAGCGAATTGAGCGAGGACAGTGGGAAAATTTCAGTCCACGTGCTTGTCACCCTCTTCGACTGGTTTCTACTAATTTTTAATGACTAGTAAGTATTCTAAGAACAATAGAATCCCGGTAACTCGAACTCTGATAGGAAACGAAAAACAGTTCGAACTAGCGAGGGTTCGAGTTATCGGGGTCGATTGAAAAATTCAATATGCCATGTTAGAAATTGATATTTACTAATTTTCTCAGTGCTTCAGTGTATGGTGGAGCACAAATTTAATTATTTCATCAGAAACAGTACGATAACATGATTAGGCACTTTTATGATAAAACGTGATCTGTTCGTTTTACCACTTTAAATCAAATTGCCTTTAATAGTGACCAGTGTTAATTTTAGTGTTTTCAGACCCTTTACAACAAGAAGAGCTAATGGGATGGCATCCGAGTGTAGTTAAAAGAACCAGAATTCGAGTAATCAGGGAAAATTTCAGTGACTTTTTGATCGAGTTAGCAGGGAGCTCGAATTATCCGAGTTCTAGTTATCGGGGTTCTACTGTATTCGCTTTGAGTACCAACGCCTGTAAACGTAGGCCCGAGCCGAAACTTTTGTCATTGTGGGGATGTGCCGCTGGGACCTATAAAACCTACACTTGAGTACCCACTTAAGTAGGTCACTTACGAATCCGTTATGGGTACATGCCACTTACGGGTGTTGCATGGAACGCACTTAGCACTCTCGTAAGTTTCTGTCTTACGTGGTAACTTACGGGCTCGCTTAAAGGCACACGTAACTTTGATATAGTACTTCATTAATGATTCACTCTCTTTTTTTTTTAAGCTAACCATCGGTGAGTGTAACGAAATTTTTTAGTCGTTTCGAACACTTTTAAGCCTCTCAAAAAAAATGAAATTTGCATGCAGACATTGTTTTTCTTCAATGTCTACTGAAAATGATAGTTCTTCTTCTTTTTTCACAACGTCGGCTTTAAAGTGTACATCAGAGGTTAACAAAGCGCATTAGAACGAATGACGTGAAGAAAAATACTCTTTTTCACTTCTCAGTAAAAGATCTCGTTAAGTTTAGTAATAACAGTAACGATACGGGACCTACATAGGTCCCGTAAATTTACGTGCTATTTTTCTCCGAAAAAAAGTTTTTATGCCGAACACCCGCAATTTCTGTTGCATAAACGACACTTAAGTGAACACTTACAAAAATCGTAAGTGCAACCACTTAAGTGAATTCCCTAATTGGACCACTTAAGTAATTTAATGCAACTGACTTAAGTTACGAGTGCACGTATGCGTACCCGTAGTTGTTACGAGCGTTTTATTCAACCGGTCCCTGGAGGAACCCTTAGCCTACACCAGAGCTAGTTCAGTGAATTTTGCTGCCCTATACTAGACTATCCCTATCCTAGAGTACCTTTTAGGCTGAGTTGCATAAATTTAAACTTGCCGATTTGATTTTTTTTTTAGTTTTTGAGAGGCAATTCCCCGTTTCCCTAGTCTAGACTAAAATCTTCAACCAACTGATCTGTTTCATACAAAATGATACCCTATTCTAGACCCAAACTCTCTGATTTATAAACCCTATCCCAGAGTAAACTGCTTGAAAACCATACCCTTCACAGACGCACATACGTACGTAGCCCATATGTGGCAGTACCCACGCCCCGGGGTTCCAAAACAGCCTTGGTCGAACCCACTTCAATTTAACTTTAAATTAGGTTGACGCTTGCGCGACGTTTTAATCTTATCTTTGCTTGCCACGTAAATTTAATTAAAATGTATTTAATTGGGATCTATTATTATTCGCTATGAGGTACCACGAGCCCTGTAACCGTAGCCCTAAACTTACGTCATTTAGAGACTTCAGGGATTGATGCGATCTCAGAAATCCAGGTTTTGTAGATGGCTGCCATCATATGTCATGTCATACTGTCAAGAATAATGGACCTTCTGGCCAAGCACGATTAAATTAAGTTCGACGTTTGAATGAACTATTGAGCCAAAGTTGAGCGTATAAATTCTGTTAACTCGATACTTCAGAAGCACGACTTCTGAAAAAAAAAAAACGGCTAGCGTAAAAATGATGGCGATGATGTCAGTTATGGGTGGGTCAGTGATTTTGCTGCTTGCATGATCTGTCGTGATATACTGTATTCATATGAGTTTTTTTTCTAATTAAACATCCCACTTAATAAATTGTATCATTTAGACCCATGTCAGCTTGCCATTGTTCTCTAAATTGCGCAGTCATCGAATCCGACGAGCGCTCGATCGGCGATCACGCAGTAAACTAATTAAAGTAAAGAGGTTTTAGAAGGTACACTGTAGGTAATTCACGGTTAAGGTAAAATGCTTGCACTACTTTAGTTTCTGATCTTTTTTTTACAATTTGTAGTAAATCAGCTTCTAACATTTTGCGAAATATGTTTCATAAGTCATATTGCATGGTGAACAAAAAGCAGATAAGGGGTCTTTAAATAGTGCATGTTGTTCGAATGACGTCAGGATTAAAAAGGCCCGCTGCTCGGAGATGAAAATTAATTTAGGATTGTTCATTTGACCCTCATTTAGCTAGTGTCAACAAGTCAAGCCCTGCTGCTTTTTGATCTTGGTAGACTAAACAGCTCTACAAGAAGGAGTGTTCGAAGATGCAACTAGCAACGTTCTTTCTTTTTTCTGCATGTTGGCTTCATGTTCGAGCAGAAACAGTGTCAACTAAGTATGGAGATATCGAGGGTCTCGTGACTTCGTATCCGAATGCCTCTGGTCGGCGTTCAAATCTGTCAGCAAATTTCTTGGCGTTCCTTTCGCCGCTCCACCAACTGGAGAGCTAAGGTTTAAAGCCCCCAAACCGCCAAAAGAATGGAAACCAAACGTCTATTCGGCTAAGACACATGGAAGCGTCTGCTTACAGTCCAAACTTCCCGAACACTTTATCAAGCCTTTTACTTCAAATTTCACTTTCACCGAGGATTGCTTATATCTTGATATCTACAGCCCGAACATCAGCCTCAGTTTGCCAGTGATGGTTTACATTCACGGTGGAGGTTACGTTATAGGAACAGCGATCACTTATCCCAGCGATATCTTGGCTCTCCATTGGGTGGTGGTGGTCATTATCCAGTATCGTCTAGGTCCCTTTGGTTTCTTGACGACTGGTGATTCAGCGGCTCCTGGTAACTATGGAATGTTGGATCAAGTGGAAGCACTGAAGTGGATCAATGAAAACATTATGAATTTTGGCTGGAATCTAAACAAGGTCACGATATTTGGAGAGAGCGCTGACGGATCAAGCGTGAGTCTCCATCTTCTATCTCCTCTGTCACGTGATCTTTTTCATCAGGCCATTGCAGAGAGCGGTGTAGATTTAAGTTCCTTTGCGGTTCAGCCAACGTCTGTTGGTCTTCGAGTCGCTAGGGAGCTTGCACAAAAACTAAACTGTGGTGCAAGCGACCACAACACAATGGTTTCCTGCATACACAACAAAAGAGCTTCAGACATACAGAAAGCCTCAGAGTCAATCAAATTTGAGTTGTCTAATTATCTCTACTGGGCACCGGTTGTAGACAAGTACTTCCTTCTTGATACACCCCAAAGTTTGAGGAAAAAGAAAGATTTCAAGCAAGTGCCACTTATCATCGCCTTTACAAGTCACGAGGGGGCGACATCTCTCGTAGATATGGTCAACAATTCTTTTGGGCTGATGGAGAGCTTGGACAACGGAGTCAGTCCGACTTTTTTTCAAATCATTTTTAAGCAAGTTTGCTCAAGGTCAAGGGTTCGATCCTCCTGCTTTGATTGAGAGGGAAGCAAAATAATAATAATGATAATTATAATAATTATTATGGTAATATTAATTATAATGGTTTATTTAAAGTACAGCCTCGTTAATACGGTCACCAATGGGCCAAAAAAATTTGGCCGTGTTAGCGGGTGACCGTATTAACGAGGGTTTTTTTTTTACAAGAAAATCAGGGGCGGATCCAGGAACTTTTTTAAGAGGGGGTGCACTCGTCTCTTGCTCTACTTCAACACCAATAAACCACATAGTTTTTTTTTGCAGAATACCAGTTGTATTAGAAAACTGCATGTCATCTCAGGGGAGGGAGGGGGGGGGGGGTGCGCACCCCCTGCACCCTCCCCCTAGATCCGCCCCTGAAAATGTATGGTCGTTTTGCCGGGCGGCCAGAAAAAAGTGGCCGTAATAATGAGGTGGCCGTAAGAAGGGGTTCACTGCATCCATAAACTAAAAATACGGCTCTTTATCTGTGACTTACTACTACCGATAACCTAACCTACTAATCTACTCATCAATTGGTTATAAATTATCATTACTACAAAACTATGAACAGTGAAAAGATAATAAAACGACTAGTTCCAAAATTAAAGAAAAGCTAGTGAAAAAGAAAAACTAATGAAAAGGTCACTAAGAATACAGCCTTGCCCTTCGGCTTAGCTTTAAGGTTACTTGTCAACTTACTCTTAACATGACTAAATTCTGGGGAGTTCCAAATATGGTGTGGTATCGCATTGAAAACATTTGGCAGTGCTGTCTTGGAAGGTACCTGATTGCGTCTACTTTCTGCTCAATCTGTGCTTTATACTCAGTTGTGACTACGATTTTATTTTGTAAAACTATAATTGTTCAAAAAGAAGCGACTTTAAAACATTTAGCCATAAAAAATTGCGGCGGTACTCACAGCAATTTAAAATCCAACAAGTTGGGCAATTGTGCACTGGGAAGGTACTGTTTGATGGCTACTCGAGCAAATCATCGCAGTGAGTTCAGTATGCCCTTAATGCCCAATACCCAATTGCAAAAGCAACCTTTTAAAGTTATATAACAAACTGACGTATTTATTGTGTCTTGTTCACTTTGTTTTGCTAATACCCTTGTTCTGAACATTATGCCCATCCCTGTTTTATTGATCATGTTCAGGTTATTCAAACGCTTTTTTTATTTTTATTGCAGAAGCACAAAAATTTGGTAACCCAGCTTCCTGCCTACGGACACATTTATCATTTCCTCGTTTTCTTTCCAAAAATTTCAAGATCCCCCACCAAGCCTAGGGAAGGCATCTCTGCCACAACTTTTCGTACAAACTCTGCATTGCTAACGAAGGAACCAACTCAATTTGCATGAATTAATCTCCATATCTGTAGCTTAATCTCGTCGAGGTGAGTTACATTAATCAGATTTTTAAGTACACATTAATTGTGATATGGTATTCGCAATGACCGTAATCCCGCTCAGTGACGCTATCCTCAACCGGGACCCTATAACTTGCTTTCACCTTATGCCACTGAAATTTCAATGCACCAACATTAGCCACCTCCATTTCTCATAAAATCACGGCAAAATGCGGCATTCTCTGTCCAAAGAGACTGCTTTTAACGGAGAAACAACTCCACGCCATACATTTCTTTGTAGCAACCCGCAATGTTTGCCCCCTGGCAATCCCAGAATCCTGTGCGCAAAACATTGGTCTCCGTAATCGTATCGGATGAAAAAAATTTCCAGTCTGGAGAGCGTTTTCAAAAATTTCCGGATACGGCCGGAAAATACGCTGGATACGTGTGGACGCAAGCCGTATTCGCCAAAAAAAAAAAAAATGCGTTTTCACAAACTTCCGGATACGTGTGGACGATGCCTTAAATTTGGGTTTGGAAATGAGGTGACCCATCCCTGCAATGGGAGTGAAATTTGCTAACCCTCCCGTTAACCTAAAATATCATGACCCTCCCCCTCTTGTACAAAAGATAAAATCTAGTTCTTGCAATACACTAGGGTCAGTCAGTATTATGAAAGCTCAAAATATATTTCTTATTTGTTCTTTGTAATGCCATATACATACATTTTAGATGACAGCATTAAGAGTCCGACTCTGATTCTGACAGCTGATCACTCGACTCTCCTATTTCTCCCAGGTTTTTTTTTTACAAATAATAATAATAATAATAATAATAATAATAATAATAACATGTTTAAACAGGATGACCATTTCAGTTATAAAAACTGCTATCAATATGGGTCCTGCATAAAAATAAATGAATAAAAAGATAAAAACATTAATTATATATGAAACTGTGATACATGACATAATTATAATCAACGAAAAAAAGGAGCTTCCTAATGAACAAAACTACATACAATCATTAAAAAGGGTAGCCCCCCTATATAAAAAAGGCTCTCTTAGTCAACTCGAGATTGACTTTATCAATAGATAACCTATCCTTAGACCTAGTGTCATAGTCATGAATATCATAAGTTCGCCGTCGAAAATAATCTGAGAAATAACTTGGAGCTTGTCCATCAAGACAATTTTTGACAAGTTTGACGATGTTTCTCTCTTCTCGTCTTAAGAGGGTCCAAAATAAAGAACTTCCTTTTTCTTCTGTGGATGTGACCTCTACATGATCACGGACACATTTGCATGACCCTCCCCCTTTTAACGGCCCATTTTTCAGGACCCCCCCTTTTCTGCACTCTCAAAAAGTTGTGACCCTCCCTCTGTTTCCACCCCCTCCCCCCTGCTAATTTCTGACAAGTCCCGTATGGATAAGTGTAAGGGTTGATTACCGGTGTCGCGTAATTTTTACGTTCGTAGGTGCCTAAAATTTACGTTCGCAAATAAAATGGAGGCAATACATGAAAGGACGCTCGTAAGCGTAAAAGTTAAACCTCGCTCAACTTAACGTTTAAGCTCAACACTTTTTATCTTCCCTCAATTTTATTTACGTGATTAAAATTTACGTGCGTTAACGTGCGTAGCCAATGAAACCGTCCGTGGAAATCAACCTTAAGGAAAAACAATAGAACTTGTCAAGGTTTTCGATGCCATCTTGGCGAGTAGGCAAACCCGTGAGAAATTACAGTGTCTGTATGAGAATCTAATGCCGAATAATTTCCGTAAAACGGCTGTTTTAAAAAACATATGAACCGTAAACTAAAGCTTCACTCTTAAGAATTCTACTGAAAAAACTTGAGGGCGTTACGTGCGCTAGAAGACCTAGAACCTTTTTTTAAAATTTTCTATACATCTGTCTGTAAAATTTTCCCGTGAAAAATTGCAGAAAAATATATGGAAAATCTAAAGCAAGCTTCTGCAGAAATTTAAGCACAGTTGTAGCTTTAGTTTACAGTTCATATTTTTTCCAGAACAGCTTTTTTACGGAAATTATTCGACGTTGGATTCTCATACAAACACTGTAATTTCTCACGCGTTTGCCTACTCGTCAAGATGGCGTCGAAAACCGTGACAAGGTCTGTTGTTTTATCCATGCCACTATATGGGTCCTTAAAAGTTTTGCTGAGTATACACGTATTTAAGGACCCTAAAGACCCTCTCTCCTCCGCAGAGGCTCCCGCTGGGTATCCCCATCAAAATAGCAATAATCGAAAAAAATAGAAAGCGCGCGGGGGACGATATCGTGTCCCGCGTGCTCTCTTTTTCTTTCTCCCCAGCCTCAACACAAAAGCCTCCCCACAATACAAAGAGGCCTCTGCGGAGGAGAGAGCTAAATACCCACTTCCGTCTCTTATGTCGATGTGTGGGACGATATGAGGTTTTAGTTTCATGGCATTTTGCTGTTATTATTGCATGATGTGTCATATGATATAGTTTTCAAAAGACCTTTGTTTGTCAGTATTCAAACCGCCAGCTCAGTGAATAATATCCTTAAAAAAACGCAGAGAGCCATGAACAATACAAGTTTGCTTTTGTTCTTTAAAATGCACAGTTAGCAAATCTAAGGTGCTCCGGCTCGCTCACGCAATACTGACAAAGGAAATTCGACAACTTGACCGGGCAACTTGAGTTGCATGTGTTGGGCCCAGCAGATCGATCATTCAGGGTCAAGATGCGTGAACTGATCCAGATTTTTCTCATAGTTTGCATTAAATTTTCTTGTAACCTTTTTAGAAATATATTTTTATCAGCCAGATTGCATGGTCAATAAAACGCCAATAAGGAAAATGAGGGGTGCTCAAATTGTGTTCCTGTAAAATATCGGCACTCTTTCACCATCACATGTGCATGAATCAAGTTTGATTGACGTCCAGGATTTTTTTAAAAATTCCATATTAAAAAAGACTCGCTGCGAGTTGAAAGGTAACTTAAAACTGTTGACTTAACCTTCATTTGGCTAGTCAGAGTGTCAACAAGTCAAGCTCGGTCGTTGTTTCATAATAGCGAAAGAAACAGCTCCACAAGAAGAAGTGTTCAAAGATGCTGCTAGCAACGTTTTTTATCTTTTGTGCATGTTGGCTTCATGTTCGAGCAGAAATAGTGTCAACGAAGTATGGAGATATCGAAGGACTCGTGACTTTATATCCGAATGCCTCTGGTCCTTTCAAATCCGTCAGCAAATTTCTTGGCGTTCCTTTCTCCGCTCCACCAACTGGAGAGCTAAGGTTTAAAGCCCCACAACCGCCAAGAGAGTGGAAACCAAAGGTTTATTCGGCTAAAACCCATGGGAGCGTCTGCTTACAGTTCAAACTTTCCGAAAACCTAATCAAGCCTTTTACTTCAAATTTCACTTTCAGCGAGGATTGCTTATATCTTGATATCTACAGCCCGAACATCAGCCTCAGTTTGCCAGTGATGGTTTACATTCACGGTGGAGGTTACGTTTTAGGAACAGCGATCACTTATCCCAGCGATATCTTGGCTCTCTATGGGGTCTTGGTGATCATAATCCAGTATCGTCTAGGTCCCTTTGGTTTCTTGACGACTGGTGACTCAGCCGCGCCTGGTAACTATGGGATGTTGGATCAAGTGGAAGCACTGAAGTGGGTCAAAGAAAACATCGAAAATTTTGGCGGGAATCCCAGCAAAGTGACCATATTTGGAGTGAGCGCTGGAGGAACAAGCGTGGGGCTCCATCTTCTATCGCCTCTATCACGTGATCTCTTTCATCAAGCCATTCCAGAGAGCGGTGTAGATTTAAGTCCCTTTGCGATTCAGCCAGCGTCTTTTGGTCTCCGTTTCACAAAAGAGCTTGCACAAAAACTGAATTGTGGATCCAGTGACCATTCTGCGATGGTTTCTTGTATGCGCAGCAAATCAGCTTTAGACATGCAGAAGGCCTCCGAGTCAATCAAATTTAATTTCATTAATTATATCTCCTGGGCACCAGTCGTAGATAAAAACTTTCTTCACGATACACCCCAAGTTTTGAGGAAAAAAGGAGAATTCAAACAAGCGCCGCTTATCATCACCTTCACAAGTCACGAGGGGGCGAGTTTTCTCGGAGACATGGCCAACAATTCTTTTGGGCTGATGGAGAACGTGGACAATGGAGTCAGTCCGACTTTGTTCAAATCATTTCTAACCAAGTTTGCTCAAGCTCAAGACAGTAGGTAAGTTCCGTTAAGATTTTACGAATGTTTGCTCAGTAGTTTTAATAGATGTAGTGACACTTTTGGAACTTATTAGTTGGTCTTCGTTTCACAAAAGAGCTTGCACAAAAACTAAATTGTGGTTCCAGTGACCATTAGGCAATGGTTTCTTGTATGCGCAGTAAAACAGTGTCAGACATGCAAAAAGCCGCAGAGTCGATCAAATTTTTTTTCGTTAATTATGTTTACTGGGCACCAGTCGTAGATAAAAACTTTCTTCACGATACACCCCAAGTTTTGAGGAAAAAAAGAGAATTTAAGCAAGTGCCGCTTATCATCACCTTCAAAAGTCACGAGGGGTCGGCTTTTCTTGGAGACATGGTCAACAATTCTTTAGGGCTGATGCAGAGCGTGGACAATGGAGTCAGTCCGACTTTGTTCAAATCATTTCTTATTAAGTTTGCTCAAGTTCAAAACAGTAGGTAAGATCAGTGAAGATTAAATATTTGCTCAGTAGTTATTAAAGTACGGCAGAACCCCGCTAACTCGAACTAAAACTCCCTTCCCCTGATCAAAAAAAGTCAGTGAAATTTACCCCGATAACTCGAATTCTGGTTCTTTTAACTACACTCGGATGTCATCCCATTAGCTCTTCTTGTTGTAAAGGGCCTGAAATCACTAAAACTAACACTGGTCACTATTAAAGGCAATTTGATTTAAATTGGTGAAACGAACAGATCATGTTTTATCATAAAAGTGCCTAATCATGTTACCGTTTCTGATGAAATAAGTGCCCCTTACACTGAAGTACTGAGAAATCAGTAAATATCAATTTCTAACATGGCATATTGAATTTTTCAATCGACCCCAATAACTTGAATCGTCGCTAATTCTCTGAACTGGTTTTCGTTTCCCTTCTGAGTTCGAGTTACTGGGGTTCTACTGTAGATGTAGCCACACTTTTGGAATTTATTGACTGGCTCATAAACGTGGATTCTCAGCACAATAGCACCCAGCGTTTTAGACCTTTGCGTGGCTCCACAGGGACTTCGCTTCTACATTAGGCTGCTGCAGGGCAATTAAGCCTCTTGGAGCCCATAGATACACGTTTGAAGAAGGGGCGTTTTACCTTAAAGATAGAGGTTTCGATAGTTTTGCAGACAACGTGGACAAAACAAAATCGACTGGCTCGTTAGCACTCTTTTTCTTGAGATTTAATTTTGAATTGACTATTTGATTTCGGCTGAAAAATAGTGGAGATGTTGGGGTGGAGACGCGCGTCATAATCCGGGGGAGGGGACAATATTTGGGTATAGATGAGCCGCTGAGGGTTTAAAACCCTGGCCCCGTTTAGTACAACAAAATTCTAAAATACATACCCTGTCAGGAGCCGACGTTTAGGACACGGGAAAAAATGCACGCCGTCTTGTTTTTAAGCCATTTATTAGCAATTGCAATAGAGCAAATTCACGTTATAGTCATTGCTTCTGTATACTTGGAGGAGAAACAAATTTCATCCTGTTTACAATTAGGATAGGCCCGGATGAAATTACATACCCTGTTTGGGAAAGAGCGGTCAAAAACCACACCCCGTCCAGAGGCAAATCCCCTTATAGGTCATATAACCTAGTACCCCCGCTGGGTCATAACAGGCCACCGACCATGTTTCTCTCTTGTGTTACATTAACATTTATTTGCAAGCAGTGTTTTACTTTCCCCTTCAAAATAAAACCAGTGAGGCATGTACCTCGGATTGCTTCACTCTAAATATCGGTCCTTTTTTTAGGAAGAAGATTGCTGATCTTCTCGCCGATGCCTTGGAGTTCATGTACACCCCCTGGCCTGACAACAGTAACACATACGCATTAAGAAGTGGACTTGTTGATGTAATTGGAGATAACCTTTTCGTTGCCCCCAGTCACAAGGTCGCTGATGTTCACAGTCAGATCGCTCCTGTTTACATGTATGAGTTTGCTCATCGGGCAAAGCCAAGTTTGGCGTTACGTGCAGAGTGGATGGGTGTTGTTCATGCTGAAAACATTCCCTTTGATTTCGGAGTTCCTTTCCTTCCCAAATTTTCGCCACATTATAGTCAGGCTGACAGAAATGTCAGTCTATTTATCATGACCATGTAGGCAAACTTTGCCCGGTCCGGCGATCCTTCAGTCAACGGTGTCGCGTGGGAGAAATACAACTCGAGTCACAGAGCTTACCTAAAAGTGGACACAAGTCCCAAACTGAAGACGTCATTTAATTCTCGCCGAATGTCTTTTTGGAATAATTACTATCCTAAATTGGAGCAGGTGAAGTTCGATGTCAATAAAGAGGTGGTCAGCGGTGCAAAGGATATTGTTACCATGGGAACTGCTCTTCAAGTTGTATTTGCTTTAATGTTATACTTAATTTACTAAGACCTTACTTTGTTTTTTTCTCACTCATTCAAGTTTATTAGAAGTGGATAAGACTAACATTTTCTTTAATGTTTATGAGCGGAAAGTAGAGCATGATGTATGTAGCCAAATTAACTAAAAAAAGTCAGCAAAGAAAAAGGGCGATTTCAGTTTTTGCTAAAAAGTTCATAACTGTTATTGAATGAAGCTGAAAATGATACGAGGAATTATGCAGATAGAGGATTGAATAATTATACTGATTAGTGAATTAATAGGGTACAGACTTAAAATGATTGTTGCTCCTGCAATTCAGATAACTATACATCGGTAGAGGATGTCTAAGGTTCGTACAATTCTACAATTGTTTTGGGCTCCATAAAATCCTAATTTTACTTCTTCAAGTTTTGGCAGTCTTCATTGCATTTGGCCGAGCATTTAATTAGTATGTGTAATCAAATGGTGACGAGTGAAATTAGGGAATAATTTCACTCGCATAGGCTCGGGAAATTATGAGGATTTGGACAAAACGCAAGTGAAATTATTCCCTAATTTCACGAGTATACCATTTGATTACCTATTAATATCATGGGTGACGAATTACGTTAGCAATCTTGGATTTTTGACATGTTTATCCTGGATCGTATCGATCGAGAACTCCACTCTCTCAAATGTTTAGACCTTAAATTTGGCTTATAAAGTTCAGAATTTTGCGGCAAAATACCTGTTAGAATTCTTCTTGATGTTCTCTTGTTTGTTCAGGTTTTCTAAAGCGTCTTTTTGTGCCCTGACATCTTCATTCACGGCATTTTAAAACTTCGTCGCCATCTTGACACTGAGACGTACGGAATGGTTGCCATGCCAATTTTGTAATTACAAATTAACGCTGAAATTTCGCGCCAAAATTAAGGAGTAATTCCTCACCTATGATATTACTACTGTAATTTTAGCTGATCGCATTGTTCTGAAGGTACACTCACAACCTCTCTACAAAGGTCACGCGTCTTCAACGTCCACTTTTTCGGACGGACAGACCATAGATTGATAGACTCGAGTGTTCCCTCGTTTTCCTCAGAGAAAGTAAAGTGAGCGAATTGAGCGAGGACAGTGTGAAAATTTCAGTCCACGCGCTTGTCACCCTCCTCGACTGGTTTCTACCAATTTTTAATGACTAGTAAGTATTCTAAGAACAATAGAATCCCGGTAACTCGAACTCTGAGGGGAAACGAAAAACAGTTCGAACTAGCGAGGGTTCGAGTTATCGGGGTCGATTGAAAAATTCAATATGCCATGTTCGAAATTGATATTTACTGATTTTCTCACTACTTCAGTGTATTGTGGAGCACAAATTTAATTATTTTATCAGAAACGGTACGATAAAACGTGATCTGTTCGTTTTACCACTTTAAATCAAATTGCCTTTAATAGTGACCAGTGTTAATTTTAGTGTTTTCAGACCCTTTACAACAAGAAGAGCTAATGGGATGGCATCCGAGTGTAGTTAAAAGAACCCTAATTCGAGTTATCGGGGAAAATTTCAGTGACTTTTTGATCGAGTTAGCAGGGAGCTCGAATTATCCGAGTTCCAGTTATCGGGGTTCTACTGTATTCTCTTTGAGTACCAACCCCTGTAAACGTAGGCCCGAGCCGAAACTTTTGTCATTGTGGGGATGTGCCGCTGGGACCTATAAAACCTACACTTGAGTACCCACTTAAGTAGGTCACTTACGAATCCGTTATGGGTACACTTACGGGTGTTGCATGGAACGCAATTAGCACTCTCGTAAGTTTCTGTCTTACGTGGTAACTTACGGGCTCGCTTAAAGGCGCACGTAACTTTCATATAGTACTTCATTAATGACTCACTCTTTTTTTTTTTAAGCTAACCATCGGTGAGTGTAACGAAAGTTTTAAGTCGTTTCGAACACTTTTAAGCCTCTCCAAAAAAATGAAATTTGCATGCAGACGTTGTTTTTCTTCAATGTCTACTGAAAATGATAGTTCTTCTTCTTTTTTTCACAACGTCGGCTTTAAAGTGTACATCAGAGGTTAACAAAGCGCATTAGAACGAATGACGTGAAGAAAAATACTCTTTTTTTACTTCTCAGTAAAAGATCTCGTTAAGTTTAGTAATAACAGTAACGATGCGGGACCTACATAGGTCCCGTAAATTTACGTGCTATTTTTCTCCGAAAAAAAGTTTTTATGCCGAACACCCGCAATTTCTGTTGCATAAACGACACTTAAGTGAACAATTACAAAAATCGTAAGTGCAACCACTTAAGTGAATTCCCTAATTGGACCACTTAAGTAATTTAATGCAACTGACTTAAGTTACGAGTGCACGTATGCGTACCCGTAGTTGTTACGAGCGTTTTATTCAACCGGGCCCTGGGCCCGGTTGCATAAAACCTGCACTTAAATGCTCACTTAAGTAGGTCACTTACGAATCCGTTATGGGTACACTTACGGGTGTTGCATGGAACACACTTACCACTCTCGTAAGTTTCTGTTTTACGTGGTAACTTCCGGGCTCACTTAAGGGCACACCTAACCTTGATATAGTACTTTATTAACGATTCACTCTTTTTTTTAAGCTAACCATCGGTGAGTGTAAAGAAAGTTAAAAGTCGTTTCCAACACTTTTAAGCCTCTCAAAAAATGAAATTTGCATGCAAACGTTATTTTTCCTCAATATCTACTGAAAATGATAGTTCTTCTTCTTTTTTCACAAAAGTGTACATCAGAGGTTAACAAAGCGCATTAGAACGAATTACGTGAAGAAAAATACTTTTTTTCACTTCTCAGTAAAAGATCTCGTTAAATTTAGTAAAAACAGTGACGATACGGGACCTACATAGGTCCCGTAAATTTACGTGCTATTTTTCCCGTAAAAAAAGTTTTATGCAACACCCGCAATTTCTGTTGCATAAACGACACTTAAGAGAACACTTACGTAAGTGCAACCACTTAAGTGAATTCCCTAAGTGGACCACTTAAGTGATTTCATGCAACTGACTTAAGTTACGAGTGCACGTACGTGTACCCGTAGTTGTTACGGACGTTTTATGCAACCGGGCCCTGGAACCCTTAGCCTACACCAGAGCTAGTTCAGTGAATTTTGCTGCCCTATACTAGACTAAACTCCCCAAATCCCCCCTATCCTAGAGTACCTTTTAGGCTGAGTTGCATAAATTTAAACTTGCCGATTTGATTTTTTTTTAATTTTTGAGAGGCAATTCCCGGTTTCCCTAGTCTAGACTAAAATCTTCAACCAACTGATCTGTTTCATGCAAAATGATACCCTACTCTAGACCAAAACTCTCTGATTTATAAACCCTATCCCAGAGTAAACTGCTTGAAAACCATACCCTTCACAGACGCACATACCTATGTAGCCCATATGTGGCAGTACCCACCCCCCGGGGTTCCAAAACAGCCTTGGTCGAACCCACTTCAATTTAACTTTAAATTAGGTTGACGCTTGCGGGACGTTTTAATCTTATCTTTGCTTGCCAAGTGAATTTAATTAAAATGTATTTAATTGGGATCTATTATTATTCGCTATGAGGTACCACGAGCCCTGTAACCGTAGCCCTAAACTTACGTCATTTAGAGACTTCAGGGATTGATGCGATCTCAGAAATCCAGGGTTTGTAGATGGCTGCCATCATATGTCATATCATACTGTCAAGAATAATGGACCTTCTGGTCAAGCACGATTAAATTAAGTTCGACGTTTGAATGAACTATTGATCCAAAGTTGAGCGTATAAATTCTGTTAACTCGATACTTCAGAAGCACGAAAAAAAAAAAAAATGCTAGCGTAAAAATGATGGCGATGATGTCAGTTATGGGTGGGTCAGTGATTTTGCTGCCTGCATGATCTGTCGTGATATACTGTATTCATATGAGTTTTATTTCTAATTAAACTTCCCACTTAATGAATTGTATCATTTAGACCCATGTCAGCTTGCCATTGTTCTCTAAATTGCGCAGTCATCGAATCCGACGAGCGCTCGATCGGCGATCACGCAGTAAACTAATTAAAGTAAAGAGGTTTTAGAAGGTACACTGTAGCTAATTCACGGTTAAGGTAAAATGCTTGCACTACTTTAGTTTCTGATCTTTTTTTTACAATTTGTAGTAAATCAGCTTCTAACATTTTGCGAAATATGTTTCATAAGTCATATTGCATGGTTAACAAAAAGCAGATAAGGGGTCTTTAAATAATGCATGTTGTTCGAATGACATCAGGATTAAAAAGGCCCGCTGCTCGGAGATGAAAATTAATTTAGGACTGTTCATTTGACCCTCATTTAGCTAGTGTCAACAAGTCAAGCCCTGCTGCTTTTTGATCTTGGTAGACTAAACAGCTCTACAAGAAGAAGTGTTCGAAGATGCAACTAGCAACGTTCTTTCTTTTTTGTGCATGTTGGCTTCATGTTCGAGCACAAACAGTGTCAACTAAGTATGGAGATATCGAGGGTCTCGTGACTTCGTATCCGAATGCCTCTGGTCGGCGTTCAAATCTGTCAGCAAATTTCTTGGCGTTCCTTTCGCCGCTCCACCAACTGGAGAGCTAAGGTTTAAAGCCCCCAAACCGCCAAAAGAATGGAAACCAAACGTCTATTCGGCTAAGACACATGGAAGCGTCTGCTTTCAGTCCAAACTTTCCGAACACTTTATCAAGCCTTTTACTGCAAATTTCACTTTCAGCGAGGATTGCTTATATCTTGATATCTACAGCCCGAACATCAGCCTCAGTTTGCCAGTGATGGTTTACATTCACGGTGGAGGTTACCTTATGGGAACAGCGATCATTTCTCCAAGCGATATACTGGCTCTCCAGGGAGTGGTGGTGGTCATTATCCAGTATCGTCTTGGTCCCTTTGGTTTCTTGACGACCGGTGATTCAGCGGCGCCTGGTAACTATGGAATGTTGGATCAAGTGGAAGCACTGAAGTGGATCAATGAAAACATTATGAATTTTGGCGGGAATCCCAACAAGGTCACGATATTTG